TGTTTGTTCTCCTAGCAGTCTATGGTATATCCAACACTCTTCTCCAGCACCACAGCTCAAAGGCATCAATTCTCTATTATCCCTAGTTAGGGTTCAGCTCTCTGATGCATAGCACACATCTGTGAAGACTATAACCCGGATCAGGCACACCTTAGTCTCCAGACTGATGTCATTGCTCTTCAGTACTTTGGAGAGGTCCCTGACAGCTGACTTTCCCAATGCAATTCGTCTCTTGATTTCCTGGCTGCTGGTACCAAGAGTGTTGATTGTGGATCCAAGTGAACTAAAACTGCTAACAATCTCAATCTCTTCACCATCCATCCTGATGCTGCCAGCTGGCCCAGTGGTGAGAATCTTTTCTTGATGTTGAGCTTCAATCTGTATTGAAGGCTGCAGTCCTTGACTTTCCGCAGCAAGCGATTCAGGTCCTCCTCAGTTTTGGCAAGCAGGGTTGTGTCATCTGCGTAACACAGGTTGTTGATAAATCTTCCACCAATTCTGATGCCATATTCCTCCTGGTACAGCATCCCAGATGATCTGTTCTGCATATAGATTGAAAAGGTATGGAGACAATATAACCTGGCAGACCCTCTTCCCAGTTTTGAACCACACAGTGTATTCTTGCTCTGTTCTGACAACTACTTCTTGGTTCAAGTAGAGGTTTCACGTAAGCACAATCAAATGCTCTGGGATTCCCATTCTTCTGAGTCAGCCACAGCTTGTTGTGATCCACACAGTCAAAAGCCTTTGCATAGTCAATGAAGCACAGATAGACATTCCACTGGTACTCTCTGCTTTCTGCCAAGATCTACCTAACATTTGCTATAATATCCCTAGTACCACAACCTCTTCTAAATGCAGCCTGCACTGCTGGCAGTTCTGTTGACATGTTGCTCCAGTAAATTTTGAATAATTTTCAGTAGAATCTTGCTTGCATGTGATATTAACAATATTGTTAGAGAATTTCCACTCTGTCAGGTCACCCTTTTTCAGAATGGGAACAAATATCGTTCTTTTCCAGTCAGTTGGCCAGCTGGCTGTCCTCCAGATTTTTTTGCACAACTTAGTGAGCACATCCAGGGCAGCATCTGTGTGTTGAAATATGTTAACTGGTATGCTGTCAACTCCTGGAGCCTTTTTTACCTTCAATTCCTTCAGAGCAGCTTGAACTTCCTCCATCACCACAGGCTCTTGCTTGTATGTTATTTCATGAAATTCTTCTTTGTCCACAAATTCCTTTCATTGTAGTGACTCTGTGTACTCCTTCCATCTCCTTTTAATGCTTCCTGGCTCATTCAACACACTACCCAAACCATCCTTAAGTATTGCCACTTGTGGCTTGAATTTTTCAACTCCTTCAGCTTAAGAAACTCTGAGCAAGTTCAGTCCTTTTGGTGTTCCGACTCGAGCTCTCTGCGCATTTCATTATAGTATCTTGCTTTGTCGTCCCGAGCTGCCCTTTGAAATTTTCTGTTCAGCTCTTTAATTTCTTGGTTTCTTCCTTTAGCTTTGACTTCTTGGCGCTCTAATGCAATATTCAGTGTCATCTGACATCCATCTTGGTCTTTTCTTCTTCTTCAGCCTCTGTAATGATCTTTTGCATTCTTCATGGACAATCTTCTTGATATCCTCTCAGAGCTCATTTGGTCTACACTCACTGGGCTCAAGGCCTCAAACCTGTTTCGGAGATGGTTTTGAAATTCAAGTGGGATAGACTTAAGGGTCAAATTTTGGTTCCTGTGGATTTGACTTACTTTTCTTCAACTTCAGCTTGAACCTGCACATGAGTAGCTGGTGGTCTGTCCCACAATCAGCACCTGGCCTGGTTTTCACAGCTGATATTGAGTTCCTCCAGCGATTCTTTCCACAAACGTCATCAATTTGATTCCTAGGCATACTATTATGTGAAATCCATGTATATAGCCTGCATTTGTGTCTTATAAAAGGTATTTGCAATGAATCAATCATTAAATGTGCAGTATTCTATCATTCTATCTCCAGCCTCATTTCTGTCACAAATACATTCCAGCTACTGATACACCTTCCCTGTTCCCAACTTTTGCGTTCCAGTCACCATTATCAATTCACCTTTTTAAAAAAATTTTTTTTAACGTGTGTACCGTCAAATCGGATCTGACTGGTACAGGAGACAATTGTTCCTCCTTCTTCAGCAGAGCATCTGGTGGATTTGTATCAATGCATCTTGACTGCATGTTCAATCTCTGACTGCAAAAGTTGGTAGAAAACTTCCATTTCCTCCTCTTTGGCTCTAGTTGTTGGTGCATATATTTGAATGATAGTGGTACTCACTGGTCTTCCTTGTATGTATATTATCCTGTCACTCACCACATTGTATTTCATGATGGAGATATATAGTAGGATCAACTAACATCATTAAAGTTGGGGATGGATGGCTTCTGAAGGAACTACTACTTTGGCTGAGGCCTAAAGAACTCAAGTGCACTTTGGTAGCTTAGTGGTAAGGAATTGTGCTGCTGAGCAAAAGGCACAGAGTTTGAATCCACCGGCTGCTCTGTGATTTCCCCCCCTCTGAAAACCCACTGGAGGATCAGCTATGAGTTGGCTCTGAATCGACAGTATGTAACAATAAGCAAGCAGGGGCTGGACTGCCAAAAAACCAAATATGCCTTGGAGAGAGCACAGTCTGGGTGCTCCCTAGAGGCAAGGATGATGAAACCTGTCTCACATTGCCATGCTGCTACAAGGGGCTGGTCATTCCTTGGAAAGGGACCTTTTTAAACAAAGGATGAATATTTTCACTTTAAAAACACCACTGGAATCCCACCAGGTAAACTCTGCAAAGTTTACATAGGCATCCTCACTAGCCTTCAGGACAGCCCCGTAAAGGAGAGGAAGACCCTCAATGGAATGGATCAACGGTGATGGTAACAATTGGCTTAAGTATATGAGCAATGGGGAGGTTGGCACAGGATAGGGCAAGGTTCAGATCCACTGTTGCCAGGGTAGCTGTGAGTCAGAACCGACTTGATGGCGCCTAACAACAAAGCCAGCCAGCCGAGCTGTTAGGATGTTGTAAAGGTTCTCAGTGGTGCACCCAGACAAAGATGGATTAGAAGAGGCCTGGTGATCAAATGGACAGAGTGATCAAAAGCAGTCAGAGAAGGCACAGGACTGGCAGCACTAAGTTATGTTGTGCATAGGTACAAAACTCAAGAGTTATTAACTTTACAATGGCTAGAAGACAGAGGTCAAGGGGGGAGAAAGAGACTGCAGATGTTGGGAAGCCAGGTTCTCAGAATCCCAGAAACCTGGGAAGGGACTTAAGCCAACTTCAAGGAGTTGGCCAGGAACTTACCAAGGAGTCACTCTGGTTGTGGTGTTGAAAATGGGTGGGAGGTGTAGGGCTGAAGGCAAGCTTTGGCTGTATGGTGCTCAGGTAATAGTAGCCTGGGGGGGAGCAGTGGGAAAATGGAGAACAGACAACTGTGTGGAAGGAGAAGTGGAATAACCAGGTTTGGAGAGTTGTTCAATGTGGAGGCAAAGCAAGAAGACTCCTGACTGGAAACTCCTATGTGGTTGGGAGTCATGGTAAGGGCTCACAGCCCTCGGAGATGGTTGCTAGGACAGCTGGAACTGATGGCAGCTACGGCAGGATGCCACAGATAAAGAGAGGCACCATGTCAGTCAGGGCCATGTGCTTCTCTTTCACAATCAAACTCCAACTCCTTAGCAACGTCCCACCCCCCACCTCCCAACTGCTTTCTAGTCATACATGTTAGTCTGTCCTTACTTTAAGTTTCCCAGTTTTGTTGTTTTATGTCTCTTTGTATACACTGTTCACTTGATAGGATATGCATTTACTAACCTCTCATACCATGAAATACTCCTAATCATGTTATCCTTCTCCTACTTGCTCTAGATCTGGGGGTTTAAGGGCCTGCTCTTGTCCAGCCCTGTATTTCCAGAAGTTCCCCTTTGGACCACAAGGCCAGAATCGTGGAGGATGCAGGGCTCAACAGGCTGCTACTGCTGTGACCCCAGGAATCAGATGGACACTGTCACAACACCCATTACTGTGATGGAGGGGGAGAACAAGGTCAGCTTTCACTGTAGTGAGGTAAGGGAGAAGGTGATGGGAAAGTGGGGGTGAAGCTCTCTGGTGGGAGGGACAGAGCTCCTGACCTGGTGATACACAGTATCACTAATGGAGAGTGAAGACTGTAAATATGCTCTCTTCATAGCCACCAGGGGCTCAGGCGTGGCTCTTGGTGGCAGCCTTCTGGTAGCCATGCTGCAGGTATTTCCCCAGGCAGGGAGCAGAGGGGATCCTGTACCTTAACTTTCTGCATAAAATCCTCATTGCAAGTCAATTCCAAGTCATGGCAACCCTATGTTTCTGAGCAAACTGAGCTCTGTAAGGTTTTAAATGACTGTTTTTTTCCGGATTGCCAGGTCTTTCTTCTGAGATGCCTCTTAACAGACTTGTTCAGTTAGCACTTAATTTCTGCACCACCGCAAGCTCTCACTATTAGCAAGTGGATTCATAGTGAACCCATGTGAGAGCAGAGAAATACCCTTAAGGTTTTCATGGCTTTAACTTTTATACAGCAGCTCTGATGGCCTAGTTGTAAAGAGATGCAATACCAATACTAAAGGTAGGTGATTTGAATCCACCAGCTGCTCTAAGAGGAAAAAGCTGGGTAATCTCCTGTGCAATTTAAAGCCTCTGAAAACCTGCTGGAGGGTCAGCTGTGAACTGGTTTGGAGTAGAAAGCATCTGAGTTGCTGTTTGTTGTTAATCTTTACAGAACCAAGATTCCCAGTTTGTTCTTCCATGCAGTTGCTGGGTGGCTTCAAACCGCCAGCCTTCTTGTGAGAAGCTAGCTGAGTGCTAACTATGAGCAGAGCTTTTCTTTCCTTAACTGGGGGCGAATCACTACAACCATCTTACCACCTAGCTACTGATTTCTGGAGTCCAGCCTTTGACTGAGAAAGAGCTGAGACAGAGGCCCAGTTTATAAGAAATCGGATTATTCAAATTTATTACCATCAAGAATTATGCAATGATGCTGTAGTTTTTCTTAACAAATAGAAAACAGACTGTGTACAACAGTGAACTCTACAGCACTAGCATCCACAAGGTAAAAATGAATGTTTCATCCAACATTACCAACCCTGGATTGTTGATCTTGACTGTCCCCAGCTAGATTCGGGGATGTCTGCGTCACATCCCTTGGCTACAACAGCTATGCACCCTTCCCCGCCCCCACTTACCTACCTAGATAGTGCTGCCCAGAGGAAGAGGCCCTCTCCCTGCCCCTCAGCAAGCCAAGATAATAGGGATTGATTATAGTACCATTAAGAGAAGTCCAGTAGTCTTGCCACATTGGTTTATGAGGGCATCTTGAAGGAGTGGAAAAGAGTGATTCTTGGGGGCTTTGAAAACAGCTGCAAACCAGGGAGGGAAGTCATCTGGCCTCAGCTGAGAACAGACATGTGCTTCCAGGCCCACTGGCCTGGACCAGGAGGGCCTGCCACGCCCCTACTGGGTCCTGAGGTGCTTGGGGCGTGACACACCCTGATTTGTGCCAATCGCCTGGGCCGTGTGGCCAGGCCTTCAGTCTCCCAACACCACGCTGAACCACAACACTGGGGACAGAAGAAAGGCTCTGTGGCCCAGAGGGCAGAACCCCAGGCGCTGGGGCCTGTCCTGCTCAGGGTGTGAAGCAGAGGCCAGGGGATGACTCTCTTTTCTCTTCCTTTTTTCTGTTTGTTTTTTTTTTGTTTTGTTTTTGCTTTTTTTAACCTTTGCAAACACGATGGTAATGAGGATTGCCTTGAAAGGCTCCCCCAGACACATTTCTGGTTCTGGGCTGTGAATGTCAGACACACACTGGAATAGACAACTGGGCGTGAGTGTTTTCTAGATCCTCCCCGCCCACCACTGACTGTGGGGCCTAAAAAAAGGCTCTGAAGGAAAACAAAACAAAATTTAAAAAAACAAAAAATAAAAGGTGTGTTTCCCTGCATTTGGATGAAATAGGATCTTTCTGTAAGGGCTGAAGAGCGGCCTCCAGGCCCACGTGGAGTCTCTGCTCAGGCTGTGGTCTCCTGTCCGCATCACCAGGAAGAGCCAGGCAAAAAAGGACCCAGTGAACTGAAAAATAAAACCAACAACAACAAAAAAACCCCAACCCCACAGTGGCCCGTTTTGCAGTTCAGGATTTGCAAAAGGTAGAGGCTAGAGTTCCCTCGATCTATCCCACTTACTGTATAAAAAAGGGGGCTTTGCCCCCAATCCCACCCCATGAGAAGAAGCATGAGAAACGCGGCAGCGGAATAGAGAGCTTGAAGCGGGCTCCGGCTGTATCTGGTGGATGGAGGCAGACGTGGCACCTGCCTGCCGGCCTGCATCCAACTGCCCAGTGTTCTAGGCTCTCTGTCTGGTGTGGCAATGTTCCTGAAACGCTGTGATCCCGGTGGGCTATGCTCTGCCAGCAACAGCATCCGTGCAGGAGGGCTGGACGATGGTCGGTATGGCTCAGAGGAGCTGGTCCCCTCCGGAGCCCCAATGTGAGGGCAGCGGAGGAGAGGGGGGCGGTAGTTACGTTGCATAGTGGTCAAAGCTGCCGAGGTACTCCAGGGCTGCACGGTAGCACAGCTGGTACTGGTCCTGGGGGACAGGATGGGGCTGGTCAGTGTGGGCGGCATAGCGGGCATCCAGCCAACAGCCAAAACCAGGTGCTGGGCCTAAACAGCTGACTTGAATGAGTTTCAGAAGGCTCATCTCTCTCCCTGCCTCCACCAAGCTACCTGCCTGTCCAAACGTGCTTGTCTGTGTAATATTTCATTGTTATCTCCCTTTCTAGACTGTGCAACCCCTAGGGGTTGCTGTGCCTGGCCCCTAACTCAGTGCTAGAATTTGCAGTCTATCCAAAACTGCTGAGTGAACGGATACATCCTGCTCCTCTCTGCCCTGAGCGCCTGTAAAATGTTGGCAGCCTGAGCTAGTACATGTCCCACGTGTGCCCAAGTGCAGCAGGTAGCACATGGCTCTGGAAGGTCTACGCACCTCTGTCTGCACCATGGCGGGACGCTGCGTGCGCAGGGTCTTCACGGTCTGGAACATGTCGACCACGCCCTCATAGCGCATTCGCTCCAGGACGATGCTCAGAGTGATGAACACACCAGTGCGGCCCACGCCGGCACTGTGAGAGGACAGGGCCGGGTCAGCAGGCCTGCCGGCCACTCAGGCCCACCCACCCCAGACCTGCTGGGAACAGCCCCACCTGCAGTGCACCGTGATGGGCCCATCCTGCCCAAACTGTTCCTTGGTCTTGTGCACCTGTCCAATGAAGTCAATGAAGCCCTCGCCTGTCTTTGGCACACCCTGCTCTGGCCAGTCTGTAAACTGGAACTGCCGGATAGTCCTGGACTGCCCATCCTGGGGAAAGGTCGGCAGAGAGACAGAGCTCGGGTTAGTGCCTATGGCAGGCCGCCTCTGCTCACTAGAGTCACACAATGAAAAGCATGCCCCCAGAAATGTGCTCACACCACACATTCAATTCAGCATCCAGGGCATGAATTGGGCACCATGCAGGCAGTCTCATGCCCTAAGTATTCTCCACCTGTTTCACACTTGGGTGTGCATACACACATGGTCTCCCACCAAGACTCACCCGTGCGTCTGTGACCTTGAACTCACGCAGAATATACTGGGGCATATTGTACTCAGCCATTGGGTCAACAACAAAGTACTGGTATCGAGCAGAGCGCTCAGCTGGCCAGTACTGGTGGCACTTTTCCTGTGGACAGAAGGCCCGACCACATGTTCAGGTGGGGAAGAAAGGGTAAAGTGTGTCTTTGTTTGTTTTTTTAAGGATTCTGGAACATGATGCATCAGGTGATAGTAGTGGGAGGGTGGTGGTGGCGGCCTGGGGCTAATACTGGTGGGAATTTGGGGGAGAAATGGAAAGGGCCTCTCTCCCAGGAGGGCTGCTGGCCTTCTCCTGAAGTTGGGGACTTCCCCAGCAACAATGAGGCCCTTCTGGGGCGGGGGTGGGCTCACCCTGCCCATCTCCCGAAGCTTGGTCAGCATGACGATGATGGTGGAGTTGTGCTCCCACAGCATGCGCCAGAAGTCCTCGGTGCTCTCGGCCAGAGGTCCCTGAGTGGCTATGTAGGCTTTCTGCTGTCTGGTGGTGGACACAAGACGGGACATGCTAGAGCTGCAGCCGCCCACTCTCTCCTCTAAGACCACCCAATTACTCCTTTTCCCAGAACCCTTCACTGCTCTTATAGATTAATCCTCCTCTACTGACCTCCCTAGACAGCCACGCTCTGGCTTGGGGACCCATGGGGTGGGGTGGGTGGTCACAAGTGTGCTGACCTATAGCCATCCAGGAAGCTGGCATTGATGTAATCAGAGCCCTCCACGCCCCGGATGGGCTGCAGACACACCCGGGTTAGCTCATACGGCATGATGTTCACCAGGCGGTTTTTGAACTTGTTGCAGGGCAGGTTGGCACTGATGAAGCGGGATGTGTGGGCCTTGGAGCTGGCCAGCAACTGGTGAGAGAGAAGTGCTGGTCAGGCTGAGGTACCTGGGTGATCACTCCATGATGTGGCCTAGCTAGTCCCTCCCTAGAGTCCCACCTTGAACTCGAGCTCCATGGCGGTGACACTCTCCCCAGGAGGCACTTGGCCCAGCTTCTGGATGTGGGCGTAGAGATTGCGGGCAGGCACCTCTGTGTGCCCACACGTGGCGGCTTCCAGCAGTGCCTCATGGATGAACACGTACTGGTCCTCTGTCTGCACCATGTAGTTCCGCTGTGATCTCATGCACGTCACATGGCCGTAGATGTCGACCGTCTTCTCGTGCTTCATCCGCTCCAGCATGGCATCGATAACAATGAAGCAGCCTGTGCGGCCCACGCCCGCGCTGCCGGACACAGGTTCTGCTGAAGCACAGGTCCCCTGAGCCCAACCACCTCCTCTGTGGGCACTGTCCCCTCACCTGCAGTGCACCACCATGGGCCCTGCATCTAGTGGGTTGCAGGCCTTGACTCGGCGCAGGAAGGCCAAGATGGGAGTCGGGTACTCGGGGACCCCGTGGTCTGGCCAGGCCATGAACTGGAACTGACGCAGCTCTCGCTTTTCACTGGAGCCGCTCTGGGGAGGAAAGTGACGAGAGACAGGATTACTGGATGTCTACTTGCTAGAGTCTCAGACCACGTGACCTGACTTCTGAGGTCAGATCCACTCCGAAATGACACAAGGCAGCTTGAAGGAGCACAGACTCTTCGGCATGCACTGTACCACTGTGCCAGGGGCCACTCATACAGGTTCACTCAGCTCCAAGCTACTAACTGTAAAACATGAGGCTCCTACTTACACCCTCAGCATACGGTATACACAGGCTTCTGGCCCTATAGGGCCGGGTGTAGGCTGTTTAACAGTGAGAAGCGACCATACCTTGTGAAGTGCGAAGGTGCGCACAGTATAGGTGGCCAACTCCACTGTGTCTAGCAGGGTTACTTGAATGAGACCATAGGTCTCAGTGCCACGAACTGGCCAGTACTGATCACATTTCACCTGTAGAGGGAAAAGGAGGTCAGGGTGGTGGTGATGATGTTTAGAGGATCCCAAAGCTGGGAAGGGATCCAGGAGCAGAAGCAGGTTGGAAGGTACAGCCTACCTGGAGGTAAGGGTCCAGCCCCGAACACCTAGATCCATGGTCTCCTCCAAACCACATCAGATCCTGTGCAACTGTACCCACCCCAGCCCTAGCTGGTGGAAGGAAGGCCATAATTGAAAATTACTTATTCATGACTGGATCGCACCAGGCACATTTTCTGCCAAATTTACCCATAACGTTTATGTGCCATTTTCAAGCTCTGTAAATTTTACGTTCCAGTCAATGCTTTGCAGCGCAAAAGCAGATAACAGGAGTTCTTTCCACTAATTAACTCAGGAGATGTGCTAGTGCCCCAGGAACACAGCATCTGGGGAACATGGGAACATCCCAGGAACATGCCAGGAACTGGGGAACATATGAATATCCCCGGAAAATGAAAGCATCTGGCAAAACCCATTACCATCCTAGGAGTCCACCAGCATCTGCGGAACATATTAGCATGCCAGCAATACCCCAGTATCTGGGGAACACAGTAACACTCAAGTTATCTGGAAACATGTAAATGCCCAGGAACACCCCAATATCTGGAGAACATGCAAACAAGGCAGGAAAGCAGCATCTGAGGAACTTTCCCCCCAGGCCACCGGATGAGTCTTCCACCCTTCCTCCTGGCAGTCCTTACCCGGGACTTCTCCTCTAGCCGAGTCATCATGACCACAGTGGCTGTGCGCTGTTCCCACACCATCCGCCAGAAGTCGCCCATGGTCTCTGGCAGAGGTCCCTGCGTGGCAATGTAGGCATTCTGTTTGCGGTAGCCATCAATGTAGTTGGCATTGATGTAGTCACTCCCAGGAACGCCTGAGGATGGAAGGAACAGGGAGCACATTATTCCCGGGCCACTCATCCTTTGCCATCCCTGAGACTCAAAGGTCTCTTCTGCAGGACAAAATGTCACCCCGGGTAGCAAGGGGAGGAGAACAAGGGGACGGCTCACCATCGATGGAGGTGAGGATGACTCGGGAGTGGTCATAGGCAATGACATTTGCGTAGCGGTTCTTGGGCTTGTTCACCTCCAGGTTGGAATTCTCCCACGTGAACTGCTGTCCAGGGTCAATGGACTGCAGAAGAGAAGGGCAGGTGGTATAAATTCAGAGCTGAGGTCTATCATTTTCCCTTGGCCTTCCAGGTAGTGCTCACATCCTGCCTTTGCCTCTCAGGGCACAGCCTCTGGGGTTTCTCTACACCGCTCTGTCAGTGAGGGGTGGACCACCACTTCCCTGGCCAGCCATGGGGCTCAGAGGCTGCTGCACCTTAGAACACTGCCTGTTAAGAAGGTGATGGGCCACGGACTCCTTAGCCACAGTACCAAGTCCTCCAGTCCAGTGTAGAGGGGTCTGGGGTGGGGTAGGTGCAGGACAAAAGGTCCCTCAAGCACCACAGCAAACTGATGATGCAGGAGGACAGAACAAGAAACAGCCACCACCTGTTCTTGGGCCTCATGCACTGCTGGTGAAGGCTCTGGACACCACTGCAGCATCCTGCCAGGCCAGCATTCCTCCTCCCTCCTGGCTGTCCCCTCTCTAGTGCTTCTCCTATCATGTGCCCCCACCACAGGCCGAACACAGAGCTCTCTAAGGCTCACTCCACACCCTTCTCTTTTCACTCTACAGGCTTCCCAGAGTAACCTTGCTTGCTCCTGGGATTTTTTTCTTCTTCTTCCCAGGTGCATCTTAGTTTTTATTTTTTATTATGATTTTAATGAAAGTTTACTGAAAGAGGCTGGGTTTTCATGTAATCATGGAAGCATATTTTCCTCCCCCCCCCTCAAATTTACTTTGCAATATACTTCTTGTTCCAGATTGTTACTTGCCATACATACAATGTCTCATCAAATTTTCCTGTCAGTCCTTCCCTTTATCTGTTCCAGTGCAGAGTTCATTATTTATCCACTCTTTTCCTGCTCTCCACCTCCCATGCCAATCCTAGTTTCTAACAGCAGTCTTATGCAAGACTTGTCCTTTTGCAACTGAGATACTGGACGCAACCTAATGTCTTCCAGACTCATCCAGGTTGTGTAGGGTTTTAGAAGCTCATTGTTTTTCAATGCTGTATAATATTCCATTGTGTGAATCTACCACATGTTTTTTTCTGTCCTTTCATTTGTTGATAGGTACTTGGGGCTGCTTCTGTCTCTTTGCTAGAGTGAATCATGCTGCAATAAACTTGAGTGTGCATACAGCTACATCATGGCTTTGATTTCTTTAGGGTATTTTCCCAGTAGAGGGACAGCTGGGTCAAATAGTATTTCTATTTTCAACTTATGAGAAAGTGTCTTCCATGGTGGTACACAGTATACCATTTTACATTCCCACCAGCAGTGAATAAGGATTCTAATCTCTCCAGAGTCAGAATTTGTTGCCTGCTGCTCTGCTGAACTTTGCTTTTGCTGCTGCGGTGAGATGATACCTCGTTGTTTTGATTATGGCTGGGATTCTGATATTCATATGCTAGAGTGTCTCGGCACCCTGCTGCAGCCCACAGCTCTTCCCTGAACTCCACATATAAATATCCAGCAGTCCCCTGGACAGATTCACCTGGGGATCAATGTCAACCCGTCAGAGCTGAGCTGATCAGCTTCCCCCTTCTCCTGCTGGGATTCTATCTCAGCAAATGACACCACTGTCCTTCCACTCAGAAGGCTGGCTGGAACCTACAAGTCTTCCTTTGTAACCACATGTTGCCTCTTTTCAGTCAGAGAAGGGGCCCTGAAAAGCAGTGACATCCTTTCACAACACGTGCAATGTCTATCTTGTCCATCACTGTTTCTTAGCTCCTCACACAGGGTTGATGCAGGCTCTATCTGTGATGGACACAGATCAGTGAACAGCTGACTGGACACTTTCTGGCTCCTTCAACCTGCACTTACTGCTTGGTCCAGGCCACACCACCTCAGAGCACACATCTCCCATCCTCTTCCCTTTTGTCCGACTTCGACTCATTCTTTGTTCAGCAACCAGAACAATTCTTCTAAACTAAAAATCTCAGTATATCAATTTTCTGCTTAAATGTCTTCTGTGACTCTTCACTGCCTCAAGAAGAATAACGACAATAGCTAAGTCTTAATGAGAACTTACTGTGTGCTGGGCCCTGCTCTAAGCATTTTGCATGTATTCAACCATCTAATCTTCATACAAGATAGGTTCTATTATCATCTTCATTTAACAGATGGCTACATCGAAATTTCTCAGTACAGTACACAACACCCTTCTATCTGGGCCCCAGCCCACTGACTCTCCTGAAGACTGGTGTCATTGACTCCATGAGGCCGACTAGTACACCCCACCCCACCTGCTTCCACCGCCCGCCTGACTGTCCTGCGTACTGTCAGAGTCACACATTCCATGTCAATGATCAGTCTGCACATGTGTCGCCCCAGTGACATCAGGGATAAAGGTAACATTTGATTCCACAGCCCCAGCACTCAGCCCGGGGAATGACATACACTTAAGTCTCAAGAAATGTGTTTGCATGCCTGAGAATTAAAAATGACGAGTTGGCAGGCCTGGGTGGCTTCCTGGAGGGAAGAGGAAAAGGGCATGGTATGGACATCTTTAGAGTTTTCCTCTAAAATGAGGACCGTTCAACTGAGAAGTGGGAAGAAGATGGAAGGGGTTGCCAGGAGCCTACACAGTGAGTGCAGAAGTCTGTGGGCTGTTGTGGTTCATCTGAAGGATGGGCAGACATGGTAGATGGGACTGGGTGATTACAGGCAGAACATCATGGGATTCCCTGCCAGATGAAGAGCTGAAGGCAGGGAGCCCAGCGTGTAAGCCTTCTACAGGTGGAGGCAGCCTGGTCTCACAGCAGACATGGTCATCAACTGACCTGCCAATCTCAGTATGTTCTTTGGGCTGGAACCTACTTGGCTCACAGACCTTGCTTGGAAGGGGAATCCTGGCTCCCACAGATGTATCCCTCAAGCACAGCTGAGGGTAGACATCTGACTAGACAGGAAGCAACCAATGTACTGGTTATCTTCAACCACTAAGAGAAAGAACGTCCAGCGACATCCCCTTTGTCCTGAGAGGACGGGTCTACTTTAGTACCGCCTCCTTCTCTAAGCGAGCTCCAGTGTCAGAATCTCTAGACAATATAGTGCTAACCCAAAGGCCAAGCCTCTCTGGTGCTTCACATCACCTACGTGCTCCATGGGAGAGGAGGACAGGCAGTCTCCTCCATGAAGATGTGCAGCCTCACAAACCTGCCAGAGGTGCTATGTCAGAATCCACTCAACCGCAGTTCGAGTTTTCACTGACAAAGCACTTCCTTAGTAGCGTGAGTGGCCCAGGGACATTGTACTTCACTCCTCAGCCCAGGCCCCCTAACACATGCCCTCCTCTGACTCCCAATCTCTACGATGCCTAGACTATGCCAGTCTGAGTACACACAGAATCACACAAGAGTACAGGACACAAAGCATCACGTAGGCCTGGATTTAAATCTTGTCTCCACCAGTCATTAGCTGTCTGACTTGGGTGAGTCTGACATGTCCCCTCTCTGAGACTTGGTTTCCTTATCTGGAAAATGGGGTCACACAGTGCTCATTTTTAAAGGGGACTGAATAAAATAACTCATGCTGGGTGCCCTGCTCAGCACCTGATAAAGGTCGCCGGTTATTGCTGATCTGTGTCTGTGTCTGTGACCTGGCCTTTGTCTCTGTCAGCTTTTAGGCAAGCACCTACGTGTTCAGCCGCAGGGAGACTTTCAAAATACCTCCCCAAGGTGACCACCAGAGGGTGCTCAAATAGGTACAGCACATGAGGGGCTCAGTCCCCTGCTGGATCTGGCTACTAGTGACTATATATTCTGGGAAGCCTAGCGCTCCTGGGTCTGAGACAGATCGGGCGTGGCACCGGGTAGACCTGGACCAGGCCACTGCAGGGTGTGGGGACATCTCACCTCATACTCCTGGGAGAACTTAAGGCCGTCGTTAGCTTTGAGGCGCTCAATATTATCTGCCAGGTCGGTGACAGGGATAGGAGGGTGGTCTCGCATACCTGGTGAGGGTGGGACACACATGGGTAGAGTTAGCACTCGGCCTGAGCGGGATGGTAGAACCAGTCCCAATACATGTATGTGCACATGTGAACATGTGTGATCACGGAGCACTGGTGGCATGGGGACAGCAGCACATGCGGCGACAGGGGGAACAACATGATGGCTGGACAGTAGGAAGACGACAGAAGGAAGTGTGTGTGCTGTAAGCACGTGATGAGGACTAAGTCCACAACATGATGCTGAGTGGGGCGCCAGGTCCTGCCTGCTGGGCACAGCTTAACAAGGATGAGCAGTTTCCCCTCGTCCCCGCTGAGGGAGGACAAGAGCAGGTCTCGCCGGTCACTTTGGGCTGGGGGAGCTCTTTAGTCTGCACCTGTCCTACTGGCCTGGCCCCAGCAGCCATGAGAGACCAGGTAAGACCATGGTCCCAGGCCCCAGGTATGTGGATGGAGTAGAGACAGTGGCAGAACAAATGGCAAAAAACAAAAGAGAGGGAGGAGGGAAGCGAGACTGATGAGGGGACAGGAGGGCACAAAGAAAGAGGGGACAGACAGGAGGGCACAAAGAAAGAGGGGACAGACAGGAGGGCACAAAGAAAGAGGGGACAGACAGGAGGGCACAGAGAAAGAGGGGACAGACAGGAGGGCACAGAGAAAGAGGGGACAGACAGGAGGGCACAGAGGAAGAGGGGACAGGAGGGCACAGAGAAAGAGGCACCAGATTGAGAGTGGAGGTAAGAGAGGCACAGAGAGAGAAAGGCAGAGAGAGAGGAGCCAGCAGGAGGGAGATAACTGACAGCAGGTGGGGGAGAGAGGAGGATGGAGAATGAAAAGTATAAGGAGACAGTGGGAGGCAGAGAGAGAAGGCGTTGAGGAAGGAGGGGGGCTGCGGTAAGAAAGAAGTAGAAAAGTGGAAACAGACACAGAAGCCAAAGTATCCCCCCAAACGCGGGAACTTTGAAAACTAACTTGAGATATTCGGGCAACTGGGGGCACTGGAACCTGCAGAGAAAAAACAAAGACAAAACCAAATACAATAGGGCAAGAGAAGAGGGCCTACTAATCCTTTGTGGTTATGCTGCCATCGGACACAGTGAGCACGGGGGCAGGGGAGGTGGACAAGGGGGCAGGAAGGGCTGGGGCCAAGTTCCCCCCGTTGTCCCCATCTGTCTCCCAAACAACTCAGCTGGAATGGCCCCCCTCCAGCTGGGTGCTCCCACCACAAAGGTCCTGTCCAAATCAATCCCTGACTCTTTTGCTATCAAATCTGCCCTTGGATATTGAAAAATTATTTGGAAAAGGGAAAGAAATTTCTTCCAAGTAGCAAAAAAATCAAACAGCGAACAACCATCAGGAATATATACACATGCTTACTATACAATTCTTTTAGCTTTTCCCGGGACTTGAAAAATTTCAGAATAAGAATTAAGTTACAAAAAACCCCCACGACCCCACCCCACAACATAAACAAAGTATCTGCTGCACTTAAGAAGGTAATCTTGTCTTAGGAGAATCCTGCGACCTTTTTTGTCCCCTCAGGTCCTTGGTTCACTGAACACTCAGCGCTAGCTGGCAAGTGCTGCTGTCACCTGGGGCTGTCTGTGGCCACAGGGACACCTCTTCCTGCCAGTGGCTCTGGCTGGGTTAAGATTCTCACTATGTCCTTCCCCTGACCCTCAGCTCCTGTCTCTCTGCTTTTCCTCACTCCTTCCATGTGCTGTTGTACCAGCACTGAAGGCCTCTATCCTCCAGCCTGGCTTTTTTCCCCCTACAACTGGTGCCTCATCCTAGGTCTTTCCGTCTTTCTCATCCATCCTGAACACTAGAATTGATCACCAATCCATCTGATACCATCTCCTCCAGCCCTGAGCTCCAGGTTCAAGGTTCAAGGTCCTTGACCTCTAACACTTCCCGGCACCCACACCAGGCCACTCTCAGTTGCTCTAACCACATCCTTTTCAGGGAAAACCTGAAAATAAGAACTCCAGCAATATGTTCCCTTCTTACTAATGCCATCTGTCTCCTATCCCACCCTGGCCTAGGATGCAGAAGGAAGGCCATTCCTACCCCAGGGTATGAAGCCCAGGTACAATCACCCCCCATACCCAGCCTCTGATGTCCCAACCACTGTTCAGAAACAATTTCCAGTTGGAACAAATGGCCTTTTGTGATCTCTCATTTTCTTTCCTCTCTCTTGCCATGCTCCTTCTCAATCTCCCTGTCTAGTCCTCGTTCTTCCGTACAATTCTGCCTTCTTCCTGGGTCCCTTTCCACCCTCTTGCTGAGTCCTCTTCCTCCTACTCTCTGACCACCTGCACTACAGCATCACTCACATGGTGCTTTTGGCCAGGTGTCAGTGCACAGCTCTAGGACTCCCGGCCCACAGACCTGGCTGGTCTGGACCTCACCCTTACACCGCTCACCCGTTACTGAGCCAGCAGCCATAAGCATCCTCCACTTCCTCACATCTCTGCCAACCGCACCTCCTTCATGTTCTGAGTGTGCCCCTCTCTCCATCCCCATGCCACCATTCTTGTCCAGGTTCTCGGTGGTCTTCTCTAAATAATCTCCTTTCTCTAATTTCTTCCCCTTCAAGTCATTCTTTACATACAAGCCACAGTAGTATTTCTGAAATTCTGCCCATGTTTCTCTCCTTCATAAACTTATCAATGCTTCCTTGTTACTTTGAAGATAGAGTACGATCTCTAAACCTGGTACACAGGGCCCTCTGTAGCTATGATCTTTGACTAAGCCTCTAGTCTTCTCTTCTGGCTCTCACTCTCCAGACCACAATTCTAATGCTGCAGAAGCATGAAAGCTCTTACAATTTGAGGCACATTTAGTGTCTCTGAGCTTGTGCAAGCGCTCTTTCCACCAAAGGAAGCTCCTTTTCACCTCCTCTGTGCCCAGCCGATGTCTACATGGCCTGGTGTCTTCTCCAGGAGACTTTTCTGCCCCTCAGTGCCTACCAGGCTAGGGTTTTCATTTCTCACAGATCTGATCATGCTAGATTGTGACTGTTGGCTAGGTTTCTCTCTCTCTCTGGATGCATACCCTTGGAACTCAGTCACTATGTTGTAAGAATGACTAAGCCCCAAGAAGAGGCTCCCAGCTGGTTCCTGCATTAACTACCAGACAGGCGAATGAACAAGCCTCTAGAATTCAGGAGTTAGGCCTACTTTTCCTGTTAAGGACCAGACATTTACAGGCTCTGCAGATATATAGATTCTGTTCCATCTACTTAAACTTGCCTTCATAGCATGAAAATAGTTATAAGCATTAACAAAATGAATCCATGTGGATATGTTCCAATAAAACTTTATTTAGAAAAACATGTGGCAAGCCATTATTTAGCTCACAGGCCAGTCTGCCAATCACTGCTTTAAATGATTCTAGCCTCAAGCCTTCAAGTCTTCCAGCTGAGGGCCCAGACAGTCTCAACAGAGACAAGCTGTTTCTGTTGTACCCTCGTCTGAATTCCTGACTCACAAAAACTGTGAGAGATCATAATTATTGTTTTAAGCAATTAAAGTCTGGGGTAATTTAATACACAGCAAATCTCCACATACAAACCCTCAGTATGCATGTATTAGCTCATGCATTCATTCAGTTTTTGAGCATTCACTTCCCAGGAATATAACAAGAACTCATCAAATGTAGAATACAAGGGACAGGGACGTGAGCAAGACAGATCCCTGGGGCCCCAGGACACTGAGAGTGAACCAGAGAGGCCCAAAGTGCTGAAGGATCACTCAATCATATTTAAGGCTGTGTGGGAAGCTTCTAGAAGCTTGAGCTGCCTGCTAGGACCAAGGGTAGCAACAGCGTTTCACGCCAGGTGAGGATGGATGGGGCAGCAGGGCAGGCATGAGATCCTGTGCTGGGGTCAGCCTCCAAGAAGGGGCACCCTAAGGCCTGTGTGTCTGGTGAGGCTGTTCCCACTGCAAATACCCCAAGTATGGTTCTTTTATGTGTAGAGAAGACAGAAACAAGCATGAACATTATTGTCCTCCCCCCCTAGTGGAGATGTGGGCTCTATGGGGGCCTGTACTCAGAGGTCCTGCAGAACTTTAAGTGGGAGCTAGGAAGCCATGCCTCCCCTAAAAGGTCCCCAGGCCTTGGAACACCTGTCTAGCTGTTGTGATAAGCCCAAAGTGGGCAAGTAAATAAAAAAGGGCCAAAAGGAAGAAGAGGAGCAGAAAGTGGGGGCCAGAAGCCTGGGGCCTTCAGGGAAAACTCCAGAGGCCTGTCTAGGCTGGGGACAACCAGACTGTGCGAGCTGTCCTACCTGGGGTTTGGTAGTTGAGCCTCCTCATCTCCACGGGGTCGGAGGAGTGGGCCAGCAAGGAGTCTTTTAGCCCAATTGACTGCTCGTCCTTTGATGATGGGGAATGGGTCCTTTTCCTAAAGAGGCAAAAAGAAAGTCTGAAGGTCCAGGTGGACGACAGTGGTGTGTGGAGTGCCTGGCTGCCACAGACACCATTTATCCAACGCTCAACCCCACCACACCTCATCCTGGGGTCTGTGAGTGCATGGGAGCCAGGGGTAAAGCAGCTTCAACATGAGAGAACATCAGATTTGGGCAGGGAGGCGAGACAGCAGGGGCATGGCCATGGGCAAGGAGTGGCAGCGAGGGAGCAAGGGGTCGCAGAGGCTGGGCTTCTTTGGAGGGAAGGCAGGTCACTGCTGGGCAGTGGCTGCTGTCCCTGAAGCCACCACAGCCAAGGCAGCAGGAGCCTCCAGGAGTAAACATGCAAATGACACATTAAAAACGCAAACATCACAGGAGGCTGGCCCTAGCTGTCCGGCCATCAGGGGTAAATGACCAGAGCAGCAGGGGAGGGACACAGACGGCATCACCCTAGCGGGCAGTCCTCTTTCACTGGCTTCAGCTCCTCTGTCCAGGGCAAGGGGTCAGGGACAGACTGTGAGACCCAGCTGCTGAGAGAAACCACTGACCGCTGTTCTGTACCCAGCTGTGTGTTTGGGAGGGCGAGCCTGTGTGAATGTGTACAAGAGGCATGCTCCCCTGCTGCTCTGCAGTGAGCACACTTGGCACATAGTAAGGATTCTCCCTACAGCACTGACTTGACCTCTCAGTGAGCAGGGAGCCTGACGAAGGTCCCAGGGAGCAGTCAGTCTGTGCACTCAGAGAAGCGCCTGAAGCCTACATTATGCCTGTGCCCCAACAAGGCGCATAGCCTGTGGAGACCAGAGTCAAACTGGTGAGATGTGACAAGAGGCTGCCCCCTCATTCCAGTGAGGACTCAGTCCCAACCTGGGACCCAGCTGAGCTGACGGGACAATTTTGCTGCTGAAAGCTGTAGGCCAGGAGGCTTCCAGGAGAAGCACCACCCCTTCCTGCTGGGCCCAAATGTGCCAAGGGAGAAGTGAAGGGGAGACGTGTGAAGAGAGAAGGAATGGCTCCTACCTTTCTTGCTTACTAGGTCCCGAAAGACAGGCAAGGACAGAAGAAAGTCATGGTCACTGTTTCCACCAAGCACTCAGGTCCTCTCAGAACATGGGGACAATGAGGACCCATATATGGCACCAAGACCCAGAGGGGAATGGGAAGGAGGATGATGGGTATGTGGGACACTGCTCAGGACCCTCATGGATCTCCACGTCTCGGGTCAGGAGGAACCCTGGGTGCTAAGTCTTCAGAAAACACGCAGTGGGGTCCGGGCCAGGAGCTGGGAAAGCTGGAGCACAGAGCCTCACATGGGAAGATGCACGCAGACACACAGACCAACATGCATTCACCTAGTGAGTGTTCACTGACAGGTATCATGGGCTCAGCCTCACACTGAGGGCTGGAGACAGTGAACCCAGTTGCAGACGCCAAGATGTTTCTGTGAAGCACTCTAAGGGCAGTTGGAGGACAGGAGGAGTAGGGTGGGCCGAATAGTGCCTGGAGCTGAGTGGGGACTGAGATGGCAGGTGCTACAGGGCAGGGACAAGGTGGCTGTGAGTAGGAAGGCACAGACTGATCCCTGGAGACTGGTATCAAGTGTGGTGTGACAATATCAGGTGGCAGCAAGGCCAAGGTGTATAGACACTCAAAAGGCTTTACCTTGGGAGCTACTACAAGGTTTTAAACTGGGAATGACAAAGTTAAACCTTTTGGAGACACCGGGGAGGCAGATGGCAAAATGCCAAGCGCAAGCTGCTGTAACTACAAGAAAGAAAAGACTGAGACTTAATGTGTCTGGGTCGCCAGCCATGCTCTGCTCAGGCATGATCTTGCAGGCAGCCCACCAGGGGGGCATATTTCTGTGACATTCAGGCTGGAAGATCGAGGGAGGGAGGAGAGATGGTCAGGGGTTAAGGGTGTCAGGTGGATTTCTGGTTGGTAACTTGGCTGGTGCACAGTGACAGAGAGGAGGGGTGCCGGCAGGGTGTTGCTTCAATGTTAAGGGCACACAGAGGTCTGAGGCAGTTGTGGCCACGTCAGGGGCTCAGTAAATATCTGCAGAGTATCCATGGCCGGGGGTGCCTGGGGCTGGGTCTGGACCTCTCTGACATTTATCTAAGATGGTGGAAGAGAAAGGTGCTCCACATAAGAGACCAGGAAATGCTATCTTGGGGCTGAAGAGGAAGACAGACACACTCACATCCACTGAAACACAGACACTTCCAGGACGCATGTGGAGCAGGCCTCTGTGAAGTGCTCTAGATGAGCAAACAAGAGGGTCTCCCATCCAGAAGACACACAGACACACATACAAGTGTGTGCGCACACTGCTTCTGCCCCTCCTGGCTTCCCATGAAACCCAGGGCGGGCCCAGGCCAGCGTGGCCATGTCTTCTCCACATGCACTGTGCCCAAGAGGGAGCAGGTGGTGTTCCCTGGAGGCCTGGGCACAGCACAGCACTCACCTTTTGAACAGGAGGATGGCAATGACTATGAGGATGATGAGGATGACCGCCAGGACTGGGCCTGTCACCCACAGCATCTCAGGCTCCTCCTGCTGCTGGGCTGGTGTAACCTGGACCACGATCTCATCCGAGTAAGGGCTGGAGGCATAGCGCTTCTGCAGGCCATTGTGGGAACAGCATGGGCTGTGAGGTCAGTGAGTAGTTCACCCACTTCCCTTCCCTTCCAACCCTGGAGAACTGGTTCTGGAGCTGGATACCTTGTCTTCCGGATGCTAAGAAGCTAGCCTGTGCCTCATCAGCTGAAGTGGGCCCCAGGAGCTAGCAGAGTCCTGGGGTCTTGGGGGTTTTGGTGCAGATCTGGGACTTTGAGGTAACTGGATTAACTAGATCTGGGGCTATTAGGTCCCTGGTGTACTACTCTGGGCCTAGGGTCCTGGGTTCCTGAGTACTGAGCCAACTCAGACAGACCTGGTCCACGGGTTCTTTCAAGGAGGCAAGCACAAAGCACTGGTAGCTCAGGTGTGGAGACAGGGGTCGGTTGTAGAAGCCCTGGTAATTGTTCTTGTCCCCCAGAGTGAAGGTCTCAGGCAGTATGTCCACCTGGGCAGCCACGTACGGCTTCAGTCGCTCTGACTGCCGCCGCTCCCCAACTCCCTGTTCCATGGCCTCTAGAAGCTGCAGAGTAGAGCAGAGCATGGGGGGTTAGTAGGGGCTCTAAGCATGCTGTGTCCAGGGTCCATGGTCTGGAACATCAGTTCCCTGGGCCAAGACAAGTGGAGGCTCATCTTTTGAGGAAGGGGGGCCAAGTCTGGACCAGCCCTCTGCCCTTGTAGAATAATGCTGAACACCGGAAACAGTGCACTGCCCTCTCCTAACACAGCCCAACAAATGGGTAATGTGCCCTTTTCCTAACTTGAAAGGGCTATGGGAAGAGGACAGGAAGATTCTAAGTGTTCCAAGGGGATGGCAAGGCTATAGAGTTCCTTTACTGGAATCCTCTTTGTGGCCTCTAAGACGTAAAAGATCTGCGAAGTCTGGGGGTTTAGGATCCCTAGACCTGCAGATATGTGTCTGCTACTTCCCACCCAGTGGACTCCTGGCGTACACCTCTAGGGGATTCTTCTTCATAAGTCTTCTCGGCATTCTCTGAAAACTCCCGGGTACTCTCTTCCAATTCTCTCCTTGGGGGCACCTCAGAATCCCTCTCCCTCGAGAGGGGCAGGCTGCCAGCCAGAGCAGCCAAGAGAGTGACCTTAAGAATGAGCATGTGTTTTAGACACTGCAATGAGGCTGAGTCACCAATGCTGGCCTGTCCCCTCCATGGGCACCTCGTCCAGCTCCAGCTCCTCGGGTGTATTCCACCTCGGCGCCAGCATGCTCCCGCCCACACGGTCAATGGGCACCACCACGATGTAAAACCACCTGGGTGAGGCAGAGCGGGAATTAGGACCACCCCCCCTCCCAGTGCCACCCTGCCTCCCGAAGGCCAAGCCTGCACACCTGATGAGCGTGGGCTCCTGCACGACGGGCATGGAGAGGGTGAAGCGGCCGTCCTCTATGTAGGCAGAGGCGAGTAGCGGCTTGTGTGGCAGGAGGTCGGGGGCTGTACGGATGGACACGAGGTGCTGCAGGCCCCCCGCGCTGCTGCCACGGTTCATTAGTACAAACGAGTACTCGGTGTTCGGCTGCAAGTCTGCAATCAGCTTCCGCATCAAGTGTCCGTCCACCTCCACACTCTGCCCATTGTAAAGAATCTGCAGGAGGTGGGGTGAGGGTGACAAGCAGTGAGGCTCCCACCATGTGGCTGCAGGGCGGCACATAGCCCTCGTGCTTGTGCACGTGCACACACTCACCTCTCACTAGAACCCTGCCTCACAAACACGTACACGCATGGGTTGGGATTGGAGTGACAGCACACAGCAGGCCCATGCACATGCTGGGCTTTGCTGGCAGTGGCCTGGACCCACCTTGAAGGGTACAGCAGACTTGTAGGAGTCAGGGATCTCCCAGCTGAGCAGCACAGACGTCTTCATTGCAGCTGCCACGTGGAAGTTCTTGGCAAACACTGAGGAGGTATAAGCAACGACTTAGCTCTGGCTGCGTAGCTGGGGCGGGCTGAGCCAACCGGATCGGTTCCCTACCAGGATGGGACACTGATTGGGGAAGGAGGGATTCAGGAAAGGCTGCAGACTACCAAGCACCCCCACTCCCAGCCAGTTTCAAATCGAAGTTCAACTCCTAGCTCAAGCTTTCTTAGAGTGAACCCCAGAGAGAGAGAGTGACGATGGCATGGGATCCATGGTCTCCCACAGTGCTTGGGTAAAGTTCAAGTGCACAGACACCAGGTGAGAGTCACCAGAGGAGAGCTGATTACGGTTGTGAGAAGCCCGTGGTCCCACACCTGAGCAGGTGGCGTTCGTTCACTACAGGTCAGTGGGTCATGGCCCGAGAAGTGAAGTGGTGCACACTCAACGCCAGTAGGTTGCACACTCAAGAATGGGATGCAGTCAGAGATCAGCAGGTCATGGTCACGAGAGATTGGAGAGTCGCACAGCAGAGTAAAGGACAGCAGAGGTCAGAGGTCACAAGCCGAGGCGTGATGCCTGCTTATTAGCGGTTAGTGGGTCACAGTCATGACAGATTGGAAGGTCACAGCAGAGCTGGTAGATCAGTCACCAGAGGTCAGTGGGTCAAGGAGAGCAGAGGTCCCCAGGTGCAGCGCACACGGGCTGGCACTGACGTATCCCACAGCACACACCTTGCTCCACAGGCATGGTCCTGGACTGGATACTGGGGCTGAGCGGGCCCGCGCCTTTACTGGTATGCGCACGGACCTTGACATCGTAAGTAGTGTCCGGCTTGAGGCCGGAGAGTGTGACGTGGGTGTCCGCAGTAACATTCTGCAGCTCCTGCTGGCTGTTGATGTCGCGGTACACCACAGTGTAGTTGGTGATGCGCCCGTTCCTTTCCGCCAGCACTGGTGGGTCCCAGGCCAGGTCCGTGGTTGATGTGGTCAGCTCTATCACATGCAGGTTCTGCGGAAAGCCACTGGGCATATCCTCAGGGGTCATGATCTCCTTCTCGAACTCCTCGCCTAGGCCAGCCCGGTTCTTGGCAGCCAGTTGGAAGATGTAGGTGGCACCCTTGTGCAGGTTGGTGACAGTAAAGTGCTGGTCATCTTTGCCAAAATCTATGGTGGTGGGCCGGGCCTCGTCTGCCCGGCGGTACTGCAGCCGGTAGCCCAGCAGCTCACCAGGCAGCTCTTTGGGGGGATGCCACTGGAGTAGTGCAGTGTTCATGGCTGTAGTGCTGACCATCATGGTGGGCCGGCCTGGGACTGATGAACAACCACGCATGGGGCTCTGGCGCTGCCCTCCTCCATGCCCCCTTCCCTGCTCGGTCCCTGCTCCCTCACTCACCTGCTCCCGTTGTTGTAACAATTTTGGGTTTGCTTCGGGCACCATCCCCCTTAGTGGTGTATGCTGCTACAGTAATGGAGTAAGTTGTCTCTGGGGTCAGGCTGCTGATGGTGGTTTCCTGTGAGGGAGGAGGAGGGGCCTGTTCCCAATCAGAGAGCAAGGGGAGGCTGCGTTTGCCACCTCAGGAGCCTCGAGAAGCCTGGCTCACACAGCCAGAGGTCCTGGAGGTGGAGGCTGTGCCCCGTTGGTCTCTAACGGAGGCATGGCAAGGGGTTGGGATATGTGCCAAAAAGGAATTGCCCATCCCAGGAGCTGAACACCTGGGGCATGGAACTCATTCTTCTTTATAGTCAAGAACAAAGGGTCACACAATTCCTTTCACTCTACTGTGCTGTAAATGCCACCTCGTGAGGCTGGTGTACACAGGCACACGCAAGGCTTGGTGCCTCGCATGCACACAGCCCCTTGCATGGCTCTAGGCATGCACATGCAAATGAGGCCTACAGGCCCTCCTGATAAGCAGAGTTCAGCTACGGGTGGGTGTAGGGGGGTGTGTGTGTGCGCACACATGGGGAAGCAGAGGGGGTTAAGACTCAACTGCTCTGGAGGACCATACCTGACCCACTCACAGCCCTGACTCTAAGAACACCATATTCCCCTCAATTGTCACTTTTCTCATTTGAACCGGGCTTGAGTTTACCTACTGCAAGTGGGGGGGGGTGGGGGGATCAAGGAAGAGGAAAAGGAACCCATCACACCTGCAAACGAACCTCCCCATCAGTCCCAGTGATGCTGGGTTGACCGTCAGGGCAGTGTCCTCTTGCCTTGGCAGAATTTAAACCCATAAACCCACCTACAGTAAAGGCATCACTTCCTGACATGCGGAGAAACACCAGGAGAGGCCAAGGTACGCCACACAAGGGGAAGGGTAGAGAGAAGGGGCGGGGACCACCGAGCAGTGGGACCAGCACTGTCACCACCAAGCCTGCTGGCCCTCCAGCTCTGAACTTCAGATGAGGTCCCTGAAGCTGCCACCAAGCCCTCACAACCCTTCCTGCCCCCAGCTGGAGGGTCTCCCAGGACTGGGGCTCCAGAACACACCAATGCTGGAACCCTGCTCCCCAGATGCCCCTCCCAGCCTGGGCCCAGCAGCAGGTGATTTTTCATTCCAGGGATCAATAAGGCCTAACGATTGAGATTGGATTTAACTCCATCCCTGTCTGGCCAGAACAGGGGCAGGGCCCTGGTCGATCATGAACATTGGCCTTAAATTGTCGCTCGACAGGTGAGAAGGAAGGATTAGAGGCAATGCCAATCACTGCTCAGCTCAGTGCTTGTGTCTAAACGCCAATTTTCTCCGGATGTGGCTGGTGCCCTGTGGATCTTGGTAGCTCAGGCTGGGAGGAAAGGCAAGAGAGGGGGAGCGTCCCATGAGCCCAGCCTGACCCAGGTCTTGCCCGCACTCGCACACCTGTTACTTACATAGTCCTCGGACTCCTCTGGCCGCCACTGACCGCGGGAGAGGGAGAGAAAGGGAGACAGGATGAAGGATTCGATCGGACCCAGAGGGGGCTTGACCCAGGGAGGACAAACAGAAGGCTTTGCCTTTTAAGTGCTCATGGCCGTAGCACCCAGGCTCATTCCCCAACCTAAGATCTAAGCCCCTGTCTCACTGTGCCAGGGCTGAGGAAGTGGGAGAAACCTGATGACAGGCACTCATGACAACAGTCAGTGGGAAGAAAATTTGCTGAAACCATGTGGCTCAGGGGGTGCCATCTGGAGATGCCTCAAGGGAGAAGAGGACAGACATGAGGATGAGATGACAGCTGGGCAGAGAGAAGGGAAGAGCCATGATGGAGGCCCAAGTAATTATATATGTTTTGTTTGCCTGACATGGTCTTGCCGTATTTGTGTTGTCTATTTTACTTTCAAATACTCACATTTGATTATTCACATTCACTTTTAATCTGGGTAGTAACGTCTACATTCACTCCATTGTTGTTATGTACCATTGAGTTGGAATTGACTCATAGCTGCCCATCCAGTGTTTTGTTTTTTACCCCCATGGAGAAGTTGGTGGATTCGAACCATGTGCTTTTTGGATTGCAGCACAGCTTCTTACCTCTAGGCCTCAGGGCTGGTTGCTTAGTGGTAAGGAAGTGCACATTGCACACAAGCAGCAGCAACCAGAGCCCTATCTAGTCATCCTAGGTGTGAGGACTGCTCTAGGGACAGGAAAGACTGCATCGTGACAGGTGAGGCAGAGGGCCGCCTGGCCAATAATAGTATGAAGTCCTTCAATGAATGCCAAGCTCAGAAGCAGGGCCTTATCCCAAAGGCTCAGGGATCTAGTGAGACTTCCATCCTTCCTGCTGGGGGAGGAAGGTCAGTAAGAATCAACGCAGGAAAACAAGTTTCCAGGCTGTTTCTTGGTAAGTTCTCCTTTGCATCACTGAGATGTGTAGGGGTTTTAGGCAGGTGGAGGAAGCGAGGTCTCTATATAAGACCCTACAGCACTGAGGGGCTGGACTAGTCAGTGTCAAACACAGCACAGGAAAATGGTCTTTGGTGTCCCCAGATCAGAGGGATTGTGAGGCGTATGGCCAGAGGACCCTCACCGTCACAGTGCTTTCCAATGGTCTAAACCTTGTCCCTGTGACCTCAATGCTAATACGTCCTCAGTGCTCCTACTCAGGACGTACTGTTTAAAGTCCTCTCAAGAAGCAAAGAACAGAATGCAGGGGAGGCTTCCAACAGGCCCCCATAGCAGTGGCCACTTTCTAGGGTGTGTCTGGGTCTACTTCTGATTGGCTGGTTTACGTGGTGGTGGGGTAACACAGACAGCCTAGGCAGGCTGGATATAGGGGCTCTCTCATGTTGTACATCCCATGGGTCAAAGCCATGGAGAAAGGACAGAATAAAACAAAATTGAAGAGAGAGACAAGGAAGGGATTAGAGAGAAAGCAGCAGCAAGTAAAAAGGAGAGAGGAGAGGAGAGGAGACAAAGAAGAGAGATGAAAATGCAGCCACTGAGAGGGAGAGACAGAAATAGAGAAAGAAGAACCAGAGACCTAAGGAAGGGCTAACAGAGAGACAGGATGACAGAGCCAAACACCATCAAAATCAGAAAGACAAAGCGAGATGGACACAGATGTGAAGGACTGACTTAGGTCTGACTCTCCCCTGGCCCCTAGTGGGAAGGTGGGGGTGAGAGGTCACACAACTCTTTACCAACTGCTCGGGCTGAGCAGATGGTGCTTCCAGGTGAAGGACAGGCTGTGAGTGTCCTTCACAGGGCATCTCTAGAGACAGCAGTGCCCACTGGGGTTGGAGCAGAATGACCTGGTCCCAGGGGCCACAAGGGCAGGTCGTTTCCCTGGGGAGAGGACACTCAAGAAGTCCGAGGCTCAGAGGGCAGACGCCCAAGCCCGTGGCTCAGCATCTCTCAAACCATTCAGAACCGGAAGGGGGCACCCAAAGTGGCTTTTCTGGAACCCTCCTGGTCACAGCTGCAGCCACTGGCTCTCAGGATGGGAGGAGCTGGAGGGAGCCCCATTCCCGAGATGTTTCTGGGTGGGTGTGTCTGCTGAGGCACAGTAAGAAGCCCTCAACGTGCCACAAGAATGCAGGCGGGCACATAGACCCGCCTTACCCACCACCCCTTTATGCTCTCAGCACTCAGTGGGCTGAGGGTAGAAAGGGGGTACACTCTGGGTAGAAAGGAATTTTATTCCCAAGAGTTGAACCTAGACAGAAGCATGAAAGTCAGTCTGTTTGTCTACAGGGGAATGCTCACCCTTAAGCACAGCACACAGAACCCAAACTAAAAACGTAAACCTAATTCACTGCGTTTTTAGATTTTGACTCATAGCAACATCAAAAGGCAGAGTAGAATTGCCGTGTAGTTTCCAAGGCGAGAATCTTTATGGGAGCAGCCAGTCGCCGTGGATCCCCTTATGACCACGATTCTGGATGGCGGTCTGTGAGCAAGATCGTGCCAGGTGTTATAATCCTTCAACACAAGATCGGGAGGACACCCGACACAGTAACTTCAGTCCTTCCCCAAGAGCATGGACATTTCTCACCCAAGCTCAGCTACTCACTTGTGGGTGAGCCTGGAGGACCACAAAAGCTTTCAACACCCCACGTGTTTCACTGGAACAGCAAACTGATGAGCAGAATGTCTGGTAGCCTCACCCTAAACTCATGGGCAATACTACCCTCCTCAGGAGGATGGAGCACAGAGGGAAGCATGAAGGTGACCGGTGGCCTCAGCCCTGACAGAAAACACCAGAGCTGAACCAGGCTCTGGGCACCAAGACAGAGGCAGCACCTCAGCCTCTGACACGGAAGTGCTCTCTTGCCTTCTGGCTTCGGAAGAGTGATGGCCAGCTCAGAACCGTCTAGGAAAGGCATGGCCCACTTTCTCATGACGTGGCATGTACTTAGTGCAAAGAGAGCACATGCCAAGAGTCGGGGCAAGGGGAGACATGAAGCAGGTGCCTGAAGACCAGGCAAGGGGCCATGGAGGTGGCAACAGTGGCCTGGGTCTGAGGGATCAGGTCTCACTGCTGGGCTGGGAGCAGAGCCACAAAGATGCCAGCTAGGGCAGGTGGGGGGTGCTGGACTCAGGTTGGCACAGCTTGGCCACACTGAGGGGAAGAGGGGGCATCCCAGAATCTGGCCCTAACCTCCTGACTTCACTGCCTCCCATCTCTGACATAGCAGCTCTTCTCCACTGTCATGAAAAAGGGTAGGTTGCTTTAAGTACCTCTGAGGGCAGGCAAAGGAGAGGGTCCATCTAGGCCCCAAAGAAGATGTCACATATGCTAGTCTCTGCTTCCCCTGCCCCTCTTTTCCTCCCCATCCACCAACAATGACACACCTGGGCCTCAGCCAGCATGACGTCTTGGATGACAGGTGTCCCTCGGGGCTCGCCATTCTCCAGTCTCACATAGGTGACCTGGTAGCCACGGATCTGGCCGTGCTGCTTGCTGGGGACGGGCAGCTTCCAGGAGACACGCACAGCAGTGGAATTCACTGGTTCCACCTCCACTTTTCTTGGTGGCCCACTGGGCACTGCAGGTCAGGTAGAGAGGGAAGTCAGGCTTGGTGATTAATCCTGACTCAAGTGGATACAACACACTCCAGGGCCTTGCCTCTGCCCCTCCCCACATTTCTTCCAGGAAAACACTGCATATAGTTTAGGCCACATCCTTAATTTGGGGGGGGGACGGACTTGCATGTCTGTCCCTGATGAGGAACAAGGAGGGATCCCGCTGACCAGCAGGAGCCCCACCAAGGCCCCAGGAGGAACAGGTGGAGATGAACACCAGACCTCTGACCACCCCAAAGTCAGTACAATCTGTCCTACTTCCTCCAGGGCCCCATATTATGCCAATGTCTAAACGAGAGTACTTTTTAGAATGTTTCTTGTACCAATCTTCCAGTTTCCCCTGAAAGGCTCTAGCTCCTTTGGAGGTAGCATAAGAGCGGGGCTCTAAGTACAAGTTGTTTCAAAAGCCTCATCACTCCAATCTGGGCAGGCCAGTCCAAAAGAGGGGTCCACTGGGGAAATGGAGGCCAAGGCCCTGGGTTGTGAGGTGGGTGGTAGTCAAGGCTGGGTGCCACCCTCCCTTGCCCCTCCTGTGCCGCCTACCGTCCTCGTCGGTGCGCACCAGCACCGGGCTGCTCTCGGGGCCGGGGCCCACGTCTGTGTGTGCCCGCACCCACACCCGGTACTCCGTCCACTTCTCCAGGCCCACCAGGTCCCAGCTGGAGTGCTCGCGGCTGATGCCATCCACCACATGCCGCCCATGGTCCTCGCCGTCCACCGCCTCGTAGGCCACGGAGTACTGGGTGATAACGCCGTTGCGGCTGTCAGCTGGCGGTGGGACCCAACTTACCCGGACAGTGGTGGAGCCCATGCTCACACAGGTCACCTTCTGGGGAGGGGCGGAGGGGGCTGGGGAAGACAAATGGGAGGAAGCAGGCAGATGGAGGGTGGGGATCACAGGCACAGTGACAGCCACGGGGGTGGGGGGTTTGCAGGCTCACCCAGGCAGGCTACTTCCCAGGTAATACAATAGCTATCCCAGGGTCCCTCTGGGCAGCTTGCCTTCACCAATGCAAACATAGCCCAGCTCCCTTTGAAACACATGCATGCACACATGGTATCTCTCTCAAACACAAGGTCTCTCCTACATACAACATACATAGTATTGAACACAGAAGCACACACTCCTCATGCCTGGTCCCACATATGGCCACATACAGAGAAGCTCTCTGTGCCTGCAATGCCCACAGCTCCTCTTTTCACAGGACAAGTGGCTCTCATAGCCCTTTTATGGGTGAGGCCGCTGTGGCCTGAGACCACCTGCACAAGGTGTCTGTTCATGATCCATGGGTGGTTCATGGGCAGACAGTGACCTCAGAGACCAGTGCCTGGGCCTGAAGGAAGCCAATGCTTCCGGGATTCCAGCACATGTAACTCACACCTGTGTACCCAAACCCATCAAGCTACCTAGCAGAGACAGTCTCTGGTTTGGAGAAGTGTCCAACAGAAGTAGTGTTACCCCACAGGCATACCTTAGGACTTAAGAGACAAACCTGTGGCCTCTCTGTTCCTCAGGGACAGTTCCAGACCTTATTCTCACTGGGGACTCTGCTGCCAGTGAATAGGCTTCCTCTCCATTGAATAGGCTTCCTCGACATTGTAAGTTCTGCCACTGTCCCCCGCCTAGGACCTAGGAGACTAGAACAACCTCCTCAACATACAGGGTTCAGCATCTTCAGCTCCAGGGCTTCCTGTTCCACTACACCCAATGTGTCAAGACCTGAATACTGTCACTGGTGGCAATAGACCTGTCTTCAACAGTACATCCTCTCTTATCACCTTGCAGACTCATTCTTGACCCAGCTCAGTTGTTCAACACACTAAAAACCCCACTCCTAATCTTGTCAGAATACCTCTTCTGAGCCTGCTGTCTTTATCACTCTCAATATTCCCTGAATTGATGGTATATAAATTGATATATTTAAAAAAGCAGATGCTGCCCTAGATGTGCTCACCACATTGTGCCAAAAAATCAGGAGGATACCTGGCCAACTGACTGGAAGAGATCTATATTTGTTCCCATTCCAAAGAATGGTGATCTGACAGAGTGTGGAAATTACCGAACAATATCATTAATATCACATGCAAGCAAGATTCTGCTGAAGATCATCCAGAGACGACTGGAAAGGCACATCAACATCAACAGAACTGCCAGCAGTGCAGGCTGGGTTTAGAAGAGACTGTGGCACAAAGCTCAGCATCACAGCAACCCCAGATTACCTCAGCATATTGACAGAAGAGTGCTGTACCACTTAGAAGAATGTTCCTCTAAAATATACTAACAACTGACTTTTAAATGTAAAGGCCCTCCCCGAGGTCTTGGTGACTCTAAACAAGAGGCTTAAATAAAAGAAGCAATATAGAATGTTTCTGTTAGGTGCCTTTGAGTCGAGTCATCCCGATGTATAGGGACCAGATGGATGTACAGCAACTCTGAACCCTTTCCTGGCCTGAGCCAGTCTCACTAATTAACCTTTTCTTTTCTGAACTTTCTACGTTTCCTTTTCAGACTCTTTATCAGTTCTGATGTCAGATTCGGTCTAGCCAACTAAGACTTAAAGAGATACTAAGTTCAAAACTCCTGCCTCACCTGGCACATCCTCACCGTGAGCTCATCTTATTTAGGGGGTCTTCGTCTTTTTCACTGATTAGCTACTGTGCGTGGCATGATTTCTTTTCCTACAGACTGGCATCTCTTGACAACATATCCAAAGTGTATGAGAAGTAGTTTCACTGCCCTTGCCTGTAAGGAGCAACCTGATTCTATTTCCTCCAAGACAGATTTATTTGTTCTCTTGGCAGTCCATGGTATATTCAATATTCTTTGCCAACACAATTCAAAGGCAACAATTCTCTTCTGGTCTTCCTTATTCACTGTTCAACTTTAACATGCATAGGAAGCAGTGGAAAATACAATTTTTGTTTGTGTTGGGCATACCATAAGCCTTTAAACCAAGATCTTATTTTAAAACCCATGTTAAAAGAAAAACCTTAGTAGTGTTACAAGCTCTTTCAGAATTTGTCTAGAAAGTCTTCCAAATTTTCCCAGGATACCCCTAAAAAAAGGAAAAAAATACCCCACCCAAAACCCTTACCTTCAGATTTATAGCTCCCTCCTTTCTCAGGTAACCTTAAAAAAGTCTGATCTTTCTGTCTCAACTTTCTCACCTCCCAAAATCACCTTAAAAGTCACCTTGTGAAACACCAATCTAGCCTATCAGGGCACCGAGACACTCGTATAGGTCATTCTTCCACACCTCGGAAGACAAAAGGATATTCCTGTTTTCTCTGCTCCTGGCAGCAGCACTTGGGCTCCACTTCCAGATTTTTTCTATTTTTAATCTTGAAAATGACCTCTTTCTTGTTTCTTTCCTTCACCTCCAGGCCTCTCTCTCAGGTCCCTCTATTCCCTTCACCTTCAGCCCAGCCGCTGTTATCTAGCAGCTTTTTAGGAATGGCATTTTCAGCTGCTGTGTCCCAAACAGGCACATCCTTCACATCTGCTCCTGTTCCCTTTTCTACCCTGGGAAGGGCACCACTCATCTACCAGATCTACATGCAGAAACATGGGATTCCTCTTGTTCCTTCCTTCTTCCTCTGCCTCTATAATCAAGCCATCACTAAGTGCTGTAGAGCTGTTATCTCTCAAATCCACCACCACCACCAGGCTTATCGAAGCACCACTTTCTGCACGGACTGTTCCAAGGCCTCCTAAGCCTACCCATTTTCCACAGGACAACCACATATGCCTTCTGCCTGGCATATGAGTCAAAGGCCGTGGATTATGCTGCTATGACGGCTGCTCCAGCTTTAGGGCCTCTGGCTGTGCTGAGCCCCTTGCCTGAGGTCTCTAAGCTCCTTACTCTTGTTTGTTTACCCAGGAAACCTTACTCTTCCTCCAAGCCTCCGCAGAAGTATCATCCTCCCCTGGGAAGCCCTCCTTGACTTGTCTGCCATACCCCTTTAAAAACTAAACCTGTTGCTGTGAACTCCAATTTAGGATGACCTCACGTGTGTTAGAAGAGAACTGTGTTCAACAGGGTCTTTAAGGCTGTGACCTCTTAGAGGCAGATCCCAAGGTCTTTCCACCAATGTGACTCTGGATAGGTTCAAACGCCTAACCTTTGGTTAGCACTCAAGTGCTTAATCCATTGTACCACCCAGAGACTGTCCACATAGCAATCGATGTGCACACAGTTAGGAACTCGTTTAAGTGATTCTGTGTTTAAGGTATACCAGCCTCTCTACCATGCTGTCTGTTCATGCCACTAATCCTGCATCGTCCTAGAGGCTTGGTGCCTGGCAGGAATGCAATAGGTACTGGTAGAAAAATAAGGGAACCTAGGGCCACATACAGCCTTGTGATGTTACCATAAACACAGAGTCCAGCGTCAGATAGAGGACTTGACAGACATTGCTGCGTTTATGGTGATTCTGTGTGGGCAGCATTGTTTCAGGCATGTGACTACTGTCCCACACAGCTGCTGTCACATCCAAGGTATGACAGTGGCCCTACTGTGGTTGTGTGGTTACAAGAATGTCACCCAGCTACTGCCTGTGACTGAGGTCACATCCATAGCTGCAGAGTTACACCCTCATACCCACACTCACTCTATTAGCTAGATGCCCCACAGATACAGTCCCATGGTCAGGTCACAGGGCCACTCACAGAGAGACACTTGCTATGCCCTGAAGACAGGTATAGAGACCTCCTCACATGTGTTCACCAGACCACTGACTTATGCATATAGGTTCTGTGGCCCAGGCTGGCGTCAGACATGGTCACTCATGGTTGCACTCCCAGTCACAACATCAGGGTCTGGCATACAACGTCACAGTCACACACATGGTCATACGGTCAGACACAGTCCTGTGGGCACACATTCTCAGAGCTGGAACCCCGTGCAGTTTGCTCGGTGTGCTGTGGTTGACACGGAGTTCTCATGATGGGTGTATGAGGTAGGAAACATGGGTGATGGGGAGGGAAGCTAACTGCCAAAGTGGAACTGGGGTATGGTGAGTGATACAGTGCCACAGCTGAGGATGGCCCAGCCCAGCACAGGGAGATGGAGGCAAGAGAGTGGGGCACAGACACAGAACTTACCTCAACAGTGGGAGGGGGATAGGAGGGAGGAAGGGGCAGAAAGCAGAGTGTAGCACGGTTACAGCCTCCTGGACAGACTGGAGGGCACTTACCTGTCCCTCTGTCAGCGTCCAGACCCACAGCCCCGACCAGAGTTAGTCCAGGGCTCAGCAAAACTGACTACCCACCTTGCTGAGGAGGGGAAAGGGGTATATGTGTGTGTGCGTGTGTGCGTATGCGCATACGTGAATGTGCCATCCCAGCTGTAACAGGCAGTGACTTCAGGAGACACTTACTGGACTGCGCTGTGCGGGCTTCAATGGTAGGGGTGAAGACGCCCACCCCCAGATCAGAGCGAGCAGCCAGCTGGAAGTGGTACAGTGTGTTGGGCTTCAGGTCCTCTAGAGTGTAGGAGGAGGTCGGGTCGAAAGTCACCTTGAGCTGGAAGAGCCAGAAGCATACACTGACCACTGTGACCTCAGAAGGTCACTTAGAGGTCATCTCTAAGATGGACTGGTGCCACCAGGGTCCTAGGCAGGACTGAGACCAGGGTTCTGACAGCATCACATGGTTATACAAGCCACATGAAGAACTTGGAATTTGTATCTACACCACAGGAGCCCCAAACTTATGGGCCATAGGGATTACAGGAGGAACTGGGGGCTTTGCCCCTAGCACAGGAGCCCCAAATAACACAGAGGCCATAGGAACAGGGGAGGAACATGGGGACGCTGGCCATCCTACAGAAGTCTCAAAGACCACCTGGGACCCAGGCTATATGGATCCAAGGATGAACGCCAGGGCTTGGACAGTGCCAGTAACCTACAGTAAGCTATGAGACCCAAGAATAGACCCAAAGAACTTTGTCAAACAGCATCTGGGTAATAAAACACCAAAAAGGGAGCTCTGGTGAACTGGTGGTAAGAATCTGCTCTGCAATCCCAAAGACATGCAGTTTGAACCCACCAGCTGCTCTGTGGGACTATCTTCTCCCACGTAACTGAAGCCTCTGAAAACCTGCCAGAAGGTCAGCTATGGGGGGTTGGTTCCAATTTGTTGGTACACAACAACAACAAGCCATAATGTACTCATAAACCAAGGAGAAATTCAAAGGACTTTTCCCCACCTGAGCCCCAGAAATCCAGAAAAGCTATAAGAAACTGTTAGGGACTAACAGGACCCTTCGTGCTCCTCCCTCCCCACGTAGTTGCTTACCTGCTGGTCTTCGTCCTCTGCTGCCCAGTACACCAGCTCGTACTTGATGATCCGCTCCTGGGGAGGCAGCAGCCACGAGAGGTGGATTCTGGTGTCTGACTCCGCCTCAGCCTGGAAGTCTGCGGGCTGGGCTGGCACTGTAACACCCCCACCCCAGGCACCATCAATCTCCCCTGTCCCCATGAAGGCTGGGAGGACACGGGAAAAAGGAGCAGGGAAGGCAGATTCACAAAATCCTTGCCCAGCAACCCAGTGACAACACACTGACTAACTGGGGGCCTACATCCTCCCAGAGAGAGCCCCAGGCCTCACGGGCTGGGGCAGGACAGTCCTGACTGGCCCTGGCGGTACAGCCTCACTCACCCGTGTGCACTCACCTCCCTGCTGTGTCTTGACTTGGATGGTGGGGCTGGGTGGGCCGTCACCCACGGCTGTGAAGGCGAGCACGCGCAGGCTATAGGTGATTCCAGGCAGCAGGCTGCCCACCGTGGTGAGGAGTCCTGCATCTGTGTTGTGTTTGTGCCAGGCGCTGAGGGGGCGTCGAGAGTCTGGGGTGTAGTAGACACGGTACCCCCGCACCAAGCCGTTGGGCTCCTCGGGCGGCTCCCACTGCACCAGCATGGTGCTGGCACTCAGCATGCGCGCCTGGACGCGGCGAGGTGGGCTGGAGGGAGCCTGCTCACCCGTGCGGGCTCGCACGGCCTCACTGGGTGGCCCTCGTCCAATGCTGTTCACCGCCAGCACACGGAAGGCATACTCCGAGAAAGGGCTGAGGCCGCCGATGCTGTAGCGAGTGGTGGCCACACCATCCACCTCCTGGAAGGGGCCCTCTGTGCCCACTGCACGGTACTGGATACCATAGTAGGATACAGGCTCCGAATTTCCAGAGTCCCAGGTCAGGGTGACGCTGGTGGCGGTTGTCTCTGTCACCACAAGGTCTATTGGAGGCTTAGGCAGAGCTGGGGACAAAGAAGAAGGCTCATGACCCCAAGAAACAACCCTGTCCTTGCTGTGGTTCACAGGCTGGTCAAGGCAGGGTGGGCTGACACTGACAGTCCACCTTAAGGAAGGGCCTGAAATGATGTCCCCTCTGATGACACTTAAAAGGTCATCTGGTATCTACCCACACTACTTTTGGGACGCACTGGATGCTCACATCAGCCTATGTGACAAATAGGAACTCAACTGACAAACAGAACCAGGTGATACCAACTGTCCAGAGTCCCACGTAGCTGGAAAGCACACAGGACTGGGTAGCAGAGAGTAGACCACACCCATTTTTAGTAAATACATATAACTTGCTGAGGATGGGACAAATGAAGATCTTTCTTAAAGGGCCAGTCTAGTTTTTAAATTAGTATGTGTGCATGAAGTTGTGCTATCAACCCAAAGGGAGGTGGTTTGAATCTGCTCCTTGGGAGAAATGGAAAATCTCCTCCTGTGTGATTTATAGCCTCTGAAAAGCCACAGGCGGGTCGGCAATGAGTTGGTTCTGACTTGACAACAACAGCAACAACAAAAACAATGACAGCTTACTCAACAGTTTCTATAAACTCTGGCTTTTAAAAGGAATGATAGTGCTGCTGACTCCACAGACCCTGTAGGAGGCTCAGAAGGAAGAAGTTCCAGGTCCACAGCTAGTTGTTCAACAAGTAATTACTGAATGTCTACTGGTGCCAGGGAGTCCTTGGGAGATGCAAACAGGTAAGTGTATGACTACCAGCCAAAAGAATAGTGGTGCAAAGGCACCCCAGAAGGCAGGCCTGACAATCTGCTTCTGAAGCAAGACCCAGAATAGTTATACCCTGCACACAAGGGACCATCATGAATCACAAGTTATGTGATGACAAAGGGGTGCCAGGAACCATGGGAAGGCTTGGGGATGGTGTTACAGACCGTGTTGGTCCTTGCTCTCATGGAGTTTTTATCCCAAGAGCAAAGAGATTAATTAAGTGTGTAACAGTCACATGTAGGAGTATAAAGAGGCAGAGTGTGGAGATGAGGAAACCTAGGAATCTCCTTGGATAGTGTGACCTGGGTAGGCCCCAAAGAGCTAAGAACTGGGGCTGAGATGGCATGAGCCATGGGCACGGCTGGTGAGAACAAGGGCAAACCTCAACCCTCAGCCTGTGTGGCTGGTGCACACTGAGGGAGAAGCCGAGCTGCATGTACTGAGCAGGAGGCCATCCGTCTGCTCTTTCTCTGACAAGCCACGGGGAGCCACGGAAGGTGTGAAGAAAGGGAATGTCATGATCTAAGTCCCACTTTTAAAGCATCACTTGAATTGCAGAACGGCAGAAGATCACAGGGAGGCCGAGCTGGACGCACAGCGACCAGAGAGAAGTCCATTACACATGCATCCTTGTCCCCCGGGCTTCAAGCCTGGAGTGAATGACAAACAGAGAGAACCTACTTCCCCTCTTGGATACTATTTTTATCACCTCAAGGGTCTGGTACTGCGTAGTGGTTAGGGTGGCTACACTGGGAATCTCTGGGTTCAAATCCCTGCTCAGGCATTTATTTGTGTGACTTTGGGCAAGTTACACAACCTCTGAGTACCCCATTTATAAAAAAGGATAAGGTAACTATCTCTCAGGGTTATATTAAGAGTGAACAAAATAATCTGTGCTTATTACTATAGTATTTGCTACGTAAGAGCTCAATACACATTAGCTATGCTTGGTGGTGTAAATGGTTAAGGCACTCAGCTGCTAACAGAGAGTTTGGTGGTTTGAATTCATCCAGAGATGCCTCAGAGAAAAGGCCTAACACTCTACTTCTGAAAAACCAGCCACTGAAAGCACTAAGGAAACACCGTTCTACCCGAACGCACAATGGGTTACCAGGAGAGATGCTCTGACCACAGTAAATTGAACAGTATTCCTCATAATGCTATTAATAACTGAAATACTTCCCCACAACACCTAAGGGTCAACAGGACCCAGAGCCGGGGCACTGAGAAGTGCTGTCCTTCAGCCTTGCCCATCCCCACAGCCATGCCTTCCACAAGCACTGACCTTTCACGGTGACCTGAGCCGTGGCCTCGATCATGCCCAGCGAGGAGATGGCCACGCAGGTGTAGTTGGCAGAGCGTACGACGTTGCTGAGCTCCAGCACGTTGCGACCAACTGGCATCTCATCCTCCTTGGTGAGCTCCTCAGCACCCAACATCCACTTCACGTAGGGCATGGGAGCGCCCACAGCGACACATGTTAGGTTTACGCTGCCACCGGGCATCACCTCCTGGCTGCTGGGAGGGATGGAGAAACGAGGAGCCACACGGCGCACTGTGGGAGGAGGAAAGAAAGGCACTCATAGGCCAGGCAGGACACCTGGGGGTGCGAAGGGCAGGGGCCCCTCATCCAAGAGCCCCTCCTGTCATAGCAAACTCATGTTCAGAGATAGGAGGGGTGGAGTTCCAGGGCCCTGTTTCCTCTGTTCCCACCCCACTTAGGGCTAGAAGTTGCCCCCACACTCAAGGACTGTATGGAGCACAGGAATTTACTTTGCAAGCAATCTCACAACCAAGTTCCCACTTGGCAGCTCAAGAAACTGAGGCCCAGGAAGATCCTGTCTGTCCAGGGTCACCTAGGGACTCTACAAGATCCAAGTCTTATGCCTATACTCTGGGCCTGGGCAGGGCCAGAACCCAGGCCACCATCCAGTGCCCGCTCTGCCTCCTTTACTGCGGGTCTCCAATAAGACTAGTGAGGGCATCAGTGACAGAAACCCAAGCATGTTACAGTGGAGGGTCCTCAGAGCAAGGATCACTTTGGGTTGTCTCTAAAGTCAATGCCTCCTCTTCCCGAAGTGGGAGTAGCACGACCACCTGAGTATCAAGCATATTTATAACAGGAAACCCTAGAAAAGGAGGCTGACCCTGAGGAGGGCGGCTGGGTGGGGGTAACGGGCCAGGGCGGGCCAGGGACATGGTCCGCGGGCAGGATGGGCATGATGATGATAGTAACATGATGAGGGCGCTGAGCAGACAGCTCTCTGCGCCAATGAACAAAGGTCTCAAGGTGGAAGGGGGCTGTGGCTGGCCACGTCCGTCCTCTGGCCTTGGGCTCTCCTGGTCAGAAGCTGTTCTGAGCTTCTCAGTCCAGGAGTACAGCAAGGAATCGTCCCCTAATGTTGCAAGCTTGGCATAGACAGATAAGAACATGCAGAGAGAGGAAGGGCAGGCAAGACTTAGTCATGGGCTGGCATGCTTAGCATGCAGACGGGGCATGCGCTAATGGGCAGAAGCTGAGTATGGCCACATGGGCATCCTCACAGACAGAACCAGAGAAGGTGAACATCAAGGCTAAGAGACCAGGGGACACTATTGGGAGCACTGGTCACTGAAGACCCTTGCTGGGGAGGCCAAGCATGCAAAGGACCCACGGCACCACGTCAAGAACACTCTTCTGTCAACATTACATTTCAGCTGCCTGCACACTCCCAAGTCACAGAATCGGAGTGAGAAGCAGCTGCAGAAACCCTGTGGTCTAATCTGACCTCACAGCCTAGGTGACAAGGAGGCCCAGAGGCCAGACATCATGGTTCTCTTAATATCACAGCCTAAAATGCCTCCCAAACACATTACTTTTGCCTCAAACCATGCTGACAAGTGTCACTACCAAAGTTCAAGGCATCATCATCTTTCTCTGGATCACTGCAATGGGAATTTCACTGTTTTTTTTTTGCCTCGTGTCCCCTATGACCCCTGGTTCTGTCAAATGGTCCTGAGCTAATAGCTGGCACAAATATGACCAGATAGCTCCTACATTTCAAACTCTTGCATGGTACTCAAAGCCCTAGAGAAAAGGCTAAGTGGCTTGGTTGAACCTGTAAGTTCCGATGTTACTTGGGCCCTGCCTCATTTGGAGTCTTCCGTATGGAACCGAAACGCTGGTAGTCCTACTATGCATGCCAGACATGACAAGTGTCATGGCCTGAGTCTACTTCCCTGTGACTCCAGGTTGACCAACGTGTCTTGGGGGAATCTATATTATTGCTTTCTTCTAGAATCAGCACCCCAATTTTCTTGAGCGGAAAGTACCTCTCTCCATTTTTAGTCTCTAGGACATGTGACCCAGGTTTGGTTAACAAGAAAATGCCTTGAGACTTTTGCAAAGTCTATTAGAAAAGTGTCTCTCTCTATTCAGGTCGCCAAGATGGGAGCTGAAAGTATGGAGTAACTGGGGAACCATCTTTACCAACACGCAGAAGAACCTGCTTGAGAACAAAGAAGTCAGTGCCCAGGAGAGCAGAGCTGAGAGACAGGCAGGTGCCAGACCAGACAGTTTAAGTATCTGCAGCCAGCCCTGCCCAACGCCAAGCCTACTTCTACATTTTTTAGCTGTGCCAGACAAGACTTTCCTTGTTTGGCTGAAGCTGGCCTAAGTTGGGTTTCTATGCTTGCCCTAATGATCAGAGTCTAGGACAAAGTTACACTAGCACTTCAGAGGCAGAGGGTTCTGTGTGGCAGAGAGCAGGTGAGTCCTAGGGGTGTGACTGGTAAGAGGGAGCTACAACAAAGTTCCCTCATTTGAGGACTCCCACCCTAAAGGCACAAGGGTGGGGTCAGGGGGCACAGGGAGACAGGCTGCCTGGCCTGGTGGTTCAGGCATGACCTGGGCTCTGGGGTGATGATGGGAGGAGAGGCATAGATGGGCTCGTCTGTTGGCAGATCAGGCCCAGGCCTGCCCTGAAGGGAGGATCCGCATAGCCTCAGCCTAAGAAGAAAGGCTGAGGGAGCAGCCTTCACTGACTGAGTCTTTCCTACAGTATGAACCAGGGAGAATGTCCATGTTCTCATTGTTCATGTGTCAAAACGGGTTCACAGGAAGAGAAACTGCTCTTCAGCACTCACTACACGTCAAAGGTTTTGTGGCTATGTATGCTACCTCCAGAACACAGATAAGGGAACTTAGTGAGTTTAGATCTTTAAATGATGTGCCCATGTTCATCTATGTAGCAGTGATAGGTCTGGGGGATGAAACACCTTCCCTTTCAGAGTCCTGGCTCACAGGCTCTGGGAAGAAGCTTCTGGGTTAGCCAAGCCTGGCAGGAAAAGAGGCTGCTCCACTTGGCATAAAGATGGTACTCTGAGAGTCACTGTTGGGCGG